TTCACATCCAGACAACGCTGGGAATTTTGAATCCATCACGCACAACTTCTCGGTTGAGGGTGTGGACCAGTCCACCGTAAGTCTTGAGTTCTAAATAATACTACCTCCAACTCTTAATATAAGATATATATATATATATATATAACTAATTTATGAAACCACGAACTCTCTTAATATATGTAAACAATAAAAATAATTTGGGCAAAAAATTATGAATTTGCAGCGAAGAAACAGAGTAATTATTATTCCTCCAAACCCCATTAGCAAAGCAATGGGTACATGAAAGCATCAACACCATCTTTTCAGCGCGGGCCACACATTTTATTGGACGTTGGTTAAGCAGAAACTTTCACATGCAAATGTAATCTCCCATTGACTAGACTTCATAATTATTGTGCCCAAAAAAAAAAACATATACCCCCTCCAATTTTAAGTGTGAGAGTTACGTAACTAATTTATGGAGTTAAGTTTATTATTTTAAAAAATGTGTTTGATTTACCTAAATCCTCCTTTAATAATTATATTGAAAACTACCACATTAATAGAAGTCCCCATGTCCTATAACAGTAATAGTGTAAAAAGAAAATTATAAATTTAAAAGATAAGATAAATTTTTTTTGGCCAAAAAAAAGATAAGATAGATTGAGTTTATATATTTAGAATTAAAAAACTGCTTCAATTCAAATTAGATCTAGAGGGCATCTAATAAATCATGAGTTCTTGATATTTATCAATCACTCATTTCACGTTAAATCAAAAAGATTTTTTTTTCCATGAGAAATTATTTGAAGAAAGCGGTGGGGTGGGATTTGATCCCACCACCCCCTAATTATTTGAGGCAACAAAAAAATATATATATTGGGTCACAAATGATTTCTTAATATTATAATACAAAAAATAATATAAATTAAGTTTTTTATTCTGGTTTGACAACAATTTATCTGAAAATGACAAGTCTTAACTAAAAAATAAAAAGTCTAAACTTGAGATTAACAAGATTTTTTTTTCTAATACATAACATAAAATAACATATAAATAAATTAAAAATAATAATAATTTCTCTGAAAATAATAAGTCTTAACTAGAAAATGTCCAACATAACTAAAATGATTATATTTTCTAGCACAATTTTTTTTTAAAGCCCGAGTGGACGCCGTTACAGACTACACGGCGGAGGCAAAGGTGGGTAAAGCCTCTTCAGTCTTCACAAAATCATTGCAAAATCATTGCATGCATTAGATACTCCGCTTCCAGCGTAGGCCACACGTTTTGTTGGACCCCAGTTACGTGGAAGCTTTCCATTTTTGTTCCGACCGGAATAAGCTTTCATAAAAATGTAATAATACTCCGTCTCTAATTATAAAAACTTTATAGTCAAATTGTGCTTTTTAATAAAACAGTTAAAATTAGTTTAAAATAATTAATATTTAACAAATATAATTTTTTTCAAATATACCCTTAATAAATATAAGAGAGTAATAATGACATAAATAGAGAGAGAATGTATGGAGAGAGAATTACATGAGAATTTATTAGAGGTAAAATATGTAACAATACATTAAATGTTCAGACAAATTCAAAAGAGACCTTATAAAAAGGGACAAATTCATTCAAAAAAGGGGATCTTATAATTAGAGACGGAGGGAGTAGAAATATCCTCCTTTAATTATAAATTTAAGAGATAAAGTAAATTAAATTTTTATATTTGAAATTAAAATATTTTTTTCAATTCAAATTAGATCTAGATGAGTCTAATAAATTATTAGTTCTTGATATTTATCAATCCGTTGAACACGCAAACCCATTTCAAGTTAAATTGAACCAACAAAAAGAAACATAAAGTCAAGATAAGTAATGAGCAAAAAGAAACAAATAGAAGTCATAAAATCTGAAAAAAGATTGAGAGAAGGCCAAAAATAAAAGGGTGTGTTTCAAAAATTCACAAAAGTCATAATATTATATTATACTAAAAATGGTGAACGTGCTAAAATACTTATAAATTTTTACTCAAAATACACTCACCACTATAATCTTTTCGTAAGTGCAAAAGTACATATAAATTTGCAAGATCAGAGAAAAAATAATATCACCGTTAAATTTGACTAAAGACCATTATTTTTTGCGGCAGGACCCACGTTAATGTTATGGAAGTATTAAAATGCCAATAATTCCAAAAAAAAAAAATGAAGGTATAAAAATACTTATAAACTTTTTAATCAAGGTACGCCAAATATCATATGTTTTTTTACATTTGTAAAAGTACCAATAACCATACAAATGAATTAATTCTTCCAGTTTTAACAGATAAACTCTATTAAATTTTATTATACTATGATAATTAATGCTATTAATTTTATGGTTAATATATATGTTTAGTCTTTTAAATTTACAATCTCTTAAATACGGAAAGTATATTTTTAGTTACTAAATGTTAACATCATAGGTCACATTAACAGAAAATACTTACTCAATGAATTTAAACGATGATTCTACAAAAGTACCCATAAACGTATAAATAAATTAATTATTGTAGTTTTTTAAAAAAAATTAAATTTTATTATACTATTATACTTTTGCACCTCCGCAAAGGTTACAGTAATGGATGCACTTTAAGTAAAAGTTTATAGGCACTTTTATTACGCCTTCACCTTTCAATTTAATTATAGTAACTGTGGTAATTATTCTAGCAGATGATCGGTTGGTGTTGGTGGGGCTTTTGCATTATCGCTCTGTGTATTGGTTCTCAAACCTTGTGCATTTTAAATTGGCAAGTGGGCCTCTTACATATTCCAATTTATTTTGTTACAGTACAAGCAGCATCAAAATATACTAGAACCCATCATTTTAATTGACCCTATCATCACTAACAAATATTAGAACCCATCATTTAACACAATTTCAAACAGCATTGACCCTATCATTACTAGCAATTACTCTATTCACTTTTTGATATAAGAACTAGTTAGTATCATATTTATCATTTTTTTCAAACTAATTTATTTATATTATAAATTGATATATATAATCTAATACTTTATTAAAAAATATTTTAAGAAGATCATGTCATGTTTATTATAATTAAATAATTTATTTATTTTTAATATATTTAAATTAGTAAGTAGTTTTTATATTGAAAAATAGAAGTCAGTAACAACAATGTCCCTAACACTAATATGTGAAAGTTGAGAGCAATTGAATTTTGATTGGAACGTTCCGCCTAGCTACGTTAAGTAGGGGGAAGCTACCGAAAAGTAACAGAGCAATTGGCTTGAAGCACCAACATCATCTTTTACGTACAAACCATTCCCATGCGGAAAAGTTACACAACTTACGCTCATTCACACACAATGAACCCTACCATTGAGGGTACGACCTTTCCTTGTAATTCATCGTATGAGGGACGGACAACGTAATTCACACGCAATGGGCCCTGCTTTTTGTCGCCAAAAGAAAGGTGGTGGGGTTAGGATGGGAATGAAATTTGTTATTAATTCCAATGTGAAAAGGATAAAAGTATCAGTTACCGTGTCATTTGACTTTGGAGACTTGAAAAAGTGAATAAAATCCAGCCGCTGCCATACATACTCCATCACCAGTTCACTTTTGCCATTTCTCAGCAAAGAAGACAGAGAGAGATCCGAGAGAGTAATCAGAATACCATGTTTGCCATAGCTTCCCCATCATCATCTTCTTCTTCCAAGAAATATGATGTGTTTCTGAGTTTCAGAGGAGAGGACACTCGCAGGTCCTTCACTAGCCATCTCCATACTGCCTTGTGCCTCAGAGATATTGAGACATACATTGATTATGAGCTCCCAAAAGGCAATGACATCTTCCAATCACTCAATAAAGCAATTCAGGATTCATCCATCTCTGTGGTGGTCTTCTCTCAAAACTATGCCACTTCAAAATGGTGTTTGAATGAGTTCCTTGAGATCCTTCGCTGCACACAACATCAGGCACAGATTGTTCCTATCTTCTACGAAATCGACCCATCTGATGTACGCAAACAAAAGGGAGCTTATGAGAAAGCATTTGCAGAACATTTGGAGAAAAACTCAAGGAAGGTGGAGGAGTGGAGACAAGCACTTTTTAAGATTGCAAATCTAGCAGGATGGGACTCCTGCAAGTACAGGTCACTTTTCATTCTCTAACTCCAAATATCTGAATCAAAGTTCTTACTTTTACTTATTACTATGATTGGTCTTCATATTCATATAAATTGCTTTTTTCTTTCCATATTATCTTATCCGACAACTAATTAACTGGCAGTGAATAATGATGTTGGATCATGTTCTGCAATACTCGTGTACATATGACATATAAACTTAATTTCTTTAAATTATTGTGTTTACATGGGAAAAAAATTATTTAAATGGTGTCATCTCAAACTTGGATACTTGAGCTCTGAAAGTTGATTTTTTTAATATTTTTCTTCTTTTCCCTTATCAGATGACAGTTGATTTTTTTTTCTTTTTTTCTTTTTTCTCCTATCAGATGAATTTTTTTTTAAAAAAAAAAACTGTTCAATGTAACTTTTCTTTTCCCTACGAATAACTCATATGGTAGAGTAAGTTATGTATACATTTCTTACGTTGGAATGAATCCTTCTTACTAATTTTGAAAATGGAGGAAAAATATCCACACAATTTTGATAAAACTTTGAAGAAATTTATCCTTTTTTTCAAAGCAATAATATTGTCATGTAAAACAAACTGTCATCAATTAGTTGTCACTTTATTTAATACATTATTTTTTAATTAATTTTCATTTGATACATTAATACTTTCTTCCACAATTCATTTTCTTATATCAGGGATGAAGCAGAACTCATTCAAAATATTGTCACGGACATCAACAAAAAACTAAACCGTGGGTCCCCAACAACTGTATTAAAAAATATTGTTGGAATTGATAAAAATTTAGATCAAATTGAGTCGTTGTTAGAAGAATCCTCAACAATTGGGATTTGGGGGATGGGCGGGATAGGCAAAACAACAATGGCTAAGGTTGTGTTTGCCAAGCTCCGCTCTAAATTTGATAGGTGCTACTTCTTGAAAAATTTCATAGAAAAGTATGAAAAGCATGGATCGGAACATGTACGTGACGAACTCTTTCAAGAACTATCAAAGGATAAATCTCTTGAATGGCTCAGTTGTAGAAAGGTTTTGATTGTGCTTGATGATGTTAGCAACACAAAACAGTTAGATGAGTTGACAAGTGAAGCTCCTCGTTTGGGAACTGGTAGTAAAGTCATCATAACAAGTAGAGATAAGCATGTGCTTAATGGAAGAGTTGAGAAAATACATGAGGCCGAGGCATTGAGCTACAACAATTCACTTGAGCTTTTCAACCTCAAAGCCTTCCACAAAGTTGGTTATGAAAGTGAATATGAAGAACTGGTTGAAAGAGCACTTGCTTATGCCAAAGGCATCCCATTGGCCTTAACTGTTTTGGGTTCGTTTCTACATTCCAGACCTATAAATCAATGGGTAAGTGTGTTGAACAAATTAGAACGGATGGCCAATAAAGATATTCAAGATGTGTTAAAATTGAGTTACGATGGACTTGATCATGAAGTGAAGGAGATATTTTTAGACATTGCTTTTTTTTTTAAAGGTGAATGGGAAAATTATGTAGCAGCAACGCTAGAGGGCTTTGGCTTTCATGCAAGAATTGGTTTGGGAATTCTTGTGGATAAGGCGTTGATAAGTTATAGTCATGGTGCGGTATGGATGCATGATTTAATACAATGGATGGCTTTTGAAATTGTTCGCCAAGAGAATGAGAAAAATCCTGGAGGACGTAGTCGACTACGGAATCCTGATGAGATCCGTGATGTGCTAGAAAATAATCGGGTAAGAAAAATATTTACCTTTCTAATTAAACACTTGAAAATGAATGAAAAGAAATTGTTAATATAAAGCAATTTATTTATTTTCTTTTGGGCTTTTGTGTTTTTCAGGGAAGTGGTGCAATTCAAGGCATAAGTTTAGATTTGTCTCAAATTAAATATTTAAAATTGAGTGCTGATGTCTTTAGAAAGATGACAAATTTAAGGTTTCTGAATCTCTATTCACGCGTACGTGAGGATAAAAGATCGTGCATTGTGAATCTTCCTTTAGGACTTCAATCATTTCCCAACTCGTTAAGGTATCTTCGGTGGGACAATTTTCCTTTAGAGTCTTTCCCATTGTCATTTTGTGCCGAGAAGCTAGTTGAACTTCACATGCCTCATAGCTACCTTCGAAAACTATGGGATGGCAAGCAGGTATAACATACAATATGAGTTTCATAATTTTTCCTTTTTGTAATTTGATTCAAATTTAAGACTCTTGATTCCTATGTAATATTTCTCTTTTCAATTGTTGCAGGAGTTGGTGAATTTAAGGAATATAAACCTTGAGAGATCCAAAAAATTGATAGAGTTGCCAGATTTGTCAACCGCTGAAAGACTTGAAAGGGTTACTCTTTTCGCGTGTGAAAGTTTATGCCATCTTCATCCATCCATTTTATCTCTTCCGAGATTAGAGTTTGTGGATCTTGGGATGTGCAAAAACCTGAAGAGTTTGGGTACAGAGAGTCAATCAAAATTGCTCTCAAAGCTAAATCCATTTTCCAAGTGTCTACCATTGTCATTTTGTGCCGAGAAACTAGTCGTACTTCTCATGCCAGGGAGTCAGCTTGAAAAACCACGGGATGGCATGCAGGTAAACATATAATTAAAAGTTTTCATTTTTTTCTTTATAATTTAATTGAAATTCGAGACTCTTGCTTCTCATGTAATATTTCTCTTTTTAATTGCTGCAGAACTTTGTGAACCTAAGGGAGATAAACCTTGCTGGGTGCAACCAATTGATAGAGTTGCCAGATTTGTCAACGGCCCAAAATCTTGAACAGGTTGATCTGACATACTGTGAAAGTTTACAGCATCTTCATCCATTAATTTTATCTCTCCCAAGATTGAGAGATCTGAAACTTTATGACTGCCGAAACCTGAAAAGTTTGAAATGTGAGAGTCCATCAAAATCTCTCTTGCACCTATATGTCTATGGTTGCTCTAGTCTCAAGGAATTTTCATTCTCATCAGACAAAATGGAGAATTTAAGTTTGGTAGGAACATGTGTCGAGATATTGGACTTTTCAACTGGGCCTATGGAGAAACTCGAGGCGCTCTATGTCAACGGCTCAGCATTAAAGAATCTTCCGATCAATGACATCTGTTACATGAGATCTCTCCAGGCGCTTCATCTTTATGATTGCGGAATAATTGATAAATCAAAGCTCCATGCCTTATTTGATGCTTTGCTATCTCTAGAAACAATTGATTTGAGAGGGACACGCAAATTGACTGAACTTCCAGACAATATCAAGCATCTCTCAAGGCTACGACATCTTAACGTAAGCGGTTGCAAGGACCTTCAATCTTTTCCCGAGCTTCCTCCATCCATTGAACATTTAGATGCCGGCAAATGCACATCATTAAAGACACTACAATTCACTTCCCATATTAAATCTCCATTGTCGACAGATGAAATAACGGCGGGTTCACCATTCTGTTCCTCGATTAGCTATCTCAAAAATCTTGTTTCGCTTAGTCTTAATGATTGTGAACAGTTGTATGAACTTCCTGCTGGCATCAAGCATCTTTCAAATCTACAGTATATTGACTTGAGCAATTGTAGAAGACTTCGCTCTCTGCCAGTGCTACCACCGTTCTTTGAACACATTCTTGCCCAGGGTTGCACATCATTGGAAACGCATGTTATGGAAAGTGCTTATTTCTTATTGAGGCGACTAGTATATGCATATAAAGGAGGTTACATTTCCTACTCCGGAAGAAAAGCCCCAGAGTGGTTTAGATTTAATCAGGTAGTAGAGGCTTCCAAAGATGTAACTATTGAGCTTCCTTTCCCCACCAGCGACGTAATTGGCTTCATTTTCTGCTCTGTTGTTTTTCAACGCTCTTCCTCCGCCCTTTCATGCATAATGGATCCTAGTGGTGGTTGGCCATGGAAATCAACAGCTGCTATCGGAGAAGTGACAAATTTCGATTCACATCAAGTTTTTCTGTGGGGTGAACCTTGCCCATTCAAGGGCTTCCATAAGAAGATGGACGATCAAAACACCAATTATAGACCAAAGGTGCTACTTAAATTCGATAATGATGCAGGAAGTGTGATTGAAGAATGTGGAGTCTTGCCAATATATGCCTCGGAATATCGCAACTTCATTCATCAAATGGAATTGCAGCCAAACTTGGATTCCCAAAAAGAGACTTGTCATGATGCTGATGAGAATTCATTTCATGGAATCCTAAAATATACTCGTTTCTCCTTGAATCAAGGAAAATGTGGCAATTTTGAAGGAAGTATTATTCCAGAATGGTTTACTTATAAAAGTTCAACAATAAACTATGAATCTCCAGACGCGCGGATCAGTGTTCGGTTTGCTCTGGATTTTGACAACTTAATAGGCTTCATTTTTTGCTTTGTTATACCCCAGTTCTCCTCAAAAAAAAGGGATGAATGTCACTCGTCATGTGATTTCTATTTACATGATGTGAGTGAAGGCAGGGGTTTGAAACTTGATAACCTTTTGAATGGTCCAATAGGATGGCACTATTCAGTGGAAAAATGGAATTCAGATGATGTTTTTCTATGGTACGATCCCCTGCACAGTGAACGTGTACTACGGAAACTCCGAAGAAAGGCGAGAGGTCATGATGAGGAGCTTGAATTTAAATTTCATATTGGTGATTATTTTGGTGATGATTATTTTTCCAATAATTGCAATTCTGAAAGGCACAATTGCTGGATCAAAGAATGTGGAGTTCGTCCAATATATGTCTCGGAGTACACAAACTTCCTTCTTCAACAAAAAAAATTCAAAGAAGGTATTGAAAAAAAGAGGCCTCGAAATATTGATGATGACCAGTACCAACTCCCTTCAACAAAGAAACTGAAGGAGTCTTCAATCATTCAATCTATTCCCCCAGAATCCTGAGTCCAAGACTTCTCATGGTGTCCATAAAGTGCTCCTCCTGCTGTCCCAGTTGAATTTGGAATCTACAAATAATCACAGCAGTAAGAAATAGATTACCTGGCTATAATCCATTACTTATCGGTGTGTATCTCCCTTTTACATTTCATCTATTAAATTTGACTTTCGTGCTTTTAAATAAAATATGCTGCTCTGTAATATATTTAATTCTATTGATAAGTTTGAATGCAATTATTTCCGCTATTAGGATTTCAAATTGGTTTCTTACAATGGGTATATATCTTCAGACAACTTCACTTGTATGTGTCATGAACGCACATGGGACCCAGGGACACGTGGATGACAGAATGGATGGTGAGGTGGAGGGAAATGGCGATCATGCAATCATTGGATTGGGCGTGCGAAGGAGCTCACGTGAGAGACGCCCACCACAGAAGCTGAGGGAATAAAGTTTGTTAGATGTCAGAGAATGGGACGTGTGTGAAATTTGTGATTTGCTTCTCCCTGATTCTCTCCCTACGGATTTCTTTTTCTGATTCTCTGTTTCCCTTTTCTGGACCTTTTCTGTTATCTTTTCTGAATACCAGTGGCGATTCTCATTTTCTGGATAACTGTCTGTAAACTGTTAATACAGTGACCTCGTATATTGACTAATATGGCCAGATTTTCAGTGCATTGTATTGTGTTGAATACTGTTACGTTGTTAGATCATAACGGTATGCTCCTTGATGCGGAAGTCCGTTAAGGCATAACATAATAGGAAACTTGGTATGCATAGCCTAGCTTCATCACATCCCAGAATAAAAAAAACATCAGTAAAGTGAAATCATCAACCAAAACTTGAGATGATTTAGATTTAGGATATCTTGTAATTTTTTCTATTTAAAAAGTTGGCTTTCATAAGTCCGATATATAATTTGTTGGATTTCAGTTTTTTTACGAGGGAGTTCGACTTCTGCAGTGAAGCTTTTATCTCCCCTGGGTCTCATAAGTAAGCTACTGATATATGCACATATAGATATTTATATATCTACATTTAGGTGAGATGGTTATCCTTCTGGAAGAGGACATATGTATGTGTGTTGGATGGTTACTCCCCGTGCTTATACATACAAGAGGTATACTTGATGTACTATAAATTAAGGAGGTCAGTTATTCCCCATACTTTTATATATATATATATATATATATATATATATAAATACATACAGACAAACACAATATGCTGTAATGTAGGTGGAACGCTTATTCACTGGTGAAGATTGTAATGTGAGGCGTATAAGTGAAAAGATAGTTGTAGTTGAATGCCTTGTGATTATTGGCTCATGTTATAGCTTGGTTTTGATCATATTTGTTTTAACTTCTCTTCTTGAAAATATGTTTTGGAAAAATTCTTATGTGTCATTGCTTGACTTCCTCACACTTTGTTATTTGTGATTCAATGAGTCAATAATAGACTCACCCCTTTTTCATTACTTTGCAGATCAGCAAGCAATTGAATAGAGAGCTCTGTTGTTGCACGTTGTGGACACAAGTCAAGTAGAATAATGACGACGTAGCATCCCATGGTGTCATGGCTACTATGGAGGGGTTAGTGTTATTGTGTCGTGTCAGCTTCAAATTTATGTTGAACGTTTGTTTAAATAATGCTTGACTAATGGTGGGTAATTTGTTTTGAAGTTGGTACCTTGCATTATGCAAACTGTGATTTGTTTTGATACAAATGAAGGCTAATTTTCTTTAAACTCTTTTAGGTTGTATGGTGTGAATGGGGTTTTAATCCAAGCTAGCTAAACTAAGCATACTTAATTGTATTGGCTTGGTCAATTCGCCAATCACAGCTCAAATTGAGTCATGACAATCTACTGCATTGTTCGCACAAAATACAAAATGATTTATAGAAAATATACAACAACAAAAAATTCTTTATTCTTACTTTTTTAGGCTTAGGACAGCTCTTGCGGTCCTGATTTACTAAACTCAAGACAAGATGCAGTTCTTGACATTGGCTACAAAGCAGTGTTTTTAGTTGAATGCGTCTTCAATGGGCTCTTCAAGATTTTGATAGCTTAAATAGAATAATCATATCCATTTTTTTAAACTAAGAATAATCATATCTAATAATTTTACAAAACTACTAACCAAGATAATAATAGTAAGTACATGTAACATATACCCCGCCTATTTCATCAGTTTGAGAGTTCATTAAGTTTACATTTTGTATTTGGGATGCGTCAGCTAAAATGAATGAATAATTATTGTTATTTCTGTTCAAGCAAATCTTCTTTCGTTTATAGGAAAGAAATGAACCTCTATTTGACAAACTTTGCACTCCATGTCTTTACTTTCTCAAAATGAAAGAAACTATAAAAAAAGAAAAAGAAAAAGAAGAAGCAAAAAACAAAAGCAGTTTCTTAAAAAGAAAGAACCTAAAAAAAAACAAAAATTAAAAGCTGTATTCCTCTGTTTCGTAACCGCTAATGAAGCAACAAAATAATGGAACTCCGTATCTCTTTTCCACGAATCCTTCACAAAATCACATTGGACCACAATAAAATGTTACAAATTTTATTCTCGTCCAGATAATAACCATGTAACGGGAGAAATTAATCTTTTAGTCTTTCAATTTTTAACTCACTTGTAACACATTCCTTTAACTATGCTTGGTACAATTCAGTCTCTAAATTTTTGACTGAGACTCAGTCCTTTATATTTTCATTTTTTTATATTATAATCCCTATCTTATCCTATGTGGCAGTGACACCCATAAATTTACTTACGACTCAGCTGCACCTAGATTTTTTATGTTTTATTTTTTTTTTTTTTTAAAAAGAAGCCACACGAGACAGAAACCATGGTCGCATCCTACTCACCAAAACTTCCACTGCACTCTGAAAATCCCATTCCCGACCACGGCTTCCGTCTTGCGTGCCTTCTTTTTTCTTTTTAAATATATATATATTTAAATATGCATATATATATATATATATGTATGTATATATATATAAATCTAGGTGGAGCTGAGTACTTGTAATTAATTTTATGGGTGTCACTGCCACATAGGATAAGACAAGGATTATAACATAAAAAATGAAGATAGGGATTGAATGGGTCAAAATTCTAGAAACTGACTCCCACCTAGTCATAGTTAGGTACTAAGTTATACGAAAGTTAAAAATTAAAAAAATTAAAAGATTAATTTTTCCTATTATTGCTTTCATATTTTTTGCCATCACATATCAATCTTGAAATATTTTAGCTTCACGTACTGTGTAATCAATTAGAAAAAGTCGGGACTAGTGTCAGACATATTTGTCAAAATAGAATATTTCAATCAAAGACTTGGGATGAAGCGAAATTGACACGTAGAATTCTTTAGACTGCATGCAATGACGAACCCGGTTTCTTTCATTATAAAGTCGATTATACGTCTCAGATATGTAAATGTCATTCAAGGTCAACCAATATGTAATAAGCACACAATTTTAAACATATTTTGAGGAAAAATAAAAAATCACTTCTGGAGAATCCTTGATCAGTAGAGCGGCCGGAATGGTATGATCCTCCAGTCTCAAGCACAACAAATTCGAGGACGAAATAAGCCTTTTGTGGATTATCACACCTCTCTTTATAACTCATTACATGTCAATTGGAACCAATATAAGTCATTTCATAATATTTTCGGATTAAAAAAAATTAAAATTCAGAATTTTACTGTTTATCCTGTCTGTATACCATTCATCTGAAAATGGGCCAATTTTAAAAATTTATAACTAAATCTAGAAAAATTAAAATGAAGTAGTTCCAATTTTCATGCGAAGCTTGCTATGAGTTCTATAGAGAAAAAATAATCATTAGGTCCAATTCCATCCAGAATAATTTCAGAAAATTCGTCAAATTGCACTGTTTATTTGGTAAATTTTTGAATTTCCAGTATTTTTGCCCAACTTTGGAAGTGCATAACTCTCAGCATACAACTCTAAATTTAATAAGTTATCACTCGTTTTAAAACTAAAAATAAAATCTATTTGCCTGTAAAATTTCATGTCCAAACTCCAACAATTGTGCATTATTTTATGTGTCACAAGTTTGGTATTTTTTAGAAAATTTCTATCCCCTAATTACTATTTTCTTGATTTATTTCCCCTTTTTCCTTCAACCACATTCCTTCCACAATGCCTCAAGTATAATTCCAACATTGGAACATGGGATAACAATAAAATTTACATCAAAATGTGATCCATAACTTATTACAAAATCCATCTAAGGTTCATTATGCATTGCAAAAATTTCTAACATAACATAATATTCATAAAGCCATTTCATGCCAAGGCCAATTCCTTCCCTTGATGTTTGGTCCACTTCCTAATTAGGGCATAAAATAATATAGAAGGAATGAGATTTCAAAGAAATCTCAGTAGCATATGAATTATAATCATCATGTAAATCAATGCAAGTTTAATTGTAAAATGTCATGCAATCCAAATCATTCTCAACTCATAGGAATTCATACCAAATATCATGCAAGGAGAGGAACATCCTATTATCCACATTGACATATCACAAAGCATTTGGCCAAAGCATAACCAATGTCAATCAAATAATCAATGTCACTACGAAGTTCCTTCAATCCAAGCAACAACAATCACAAGAAACAAGCAAGATAAACAATCAAATTATAATTCAAAGCTACATTTGCAAAGCATGTCCACTTAATTCCTCCAAAGAGCAATGCTTTTCCTTAATTCCTCCTCTCAATGCCTATTAAACCAAATATAATCATAGGCCATATTAATCACAAAATAACTTAATTCCAATATTTAAATATTAACTTAACAATTCCCCCCTTTCTTTGCTTTTTAATTTCTTCTTTAGAATCAACCATCTCATGACTCAATCCTACACAATTTTTCATGAAGAATCCAATAGTGCAATCAGATTTTTAAAATTCAAACTCCTTCCCCATGAACTCCTCTTGGCCGAATAGGGGTCTTTAATTTTTC